TTCAAGAAAAAATCTGAGGATAATATCAGAACATACAAGTTCACTGTGTAAGCAGTTACTTTCTAGTCACTCTGTATACAGTTTTTAGTTATTTCAATAACCGTTGTCTGGTCAAAAGTATTACTGAAACACCACCCCTGATTAAATAAAGCATTGTTTCCTTTGCTGACTTTAGTTTACTCATAATTTCTGCGTTACTTTGACAAAAGCATAAGGCATGGCGAAGTGATCCTACACAATCAAAGACCTACAGTTCCGATCGGCATAAAACAACATGGTTCGTTTACAACGAAACCACTTCGACACGCAGCTAAGTTCTCTCTTTACTATAGTTACCTCTTCACTTTTATTTGCTAATGATTTTACACAGCATAACATCGGTATTTCAAAAATAAGTGACTCTCCTCTGTGAGATCGAACAGTCTCCAGAAATAATCCAACAAGAAATACTCGACCTTACAGCAAACCTAACTAAAAAAACATATTTGAAAGGAGCGAACCTCCTTCTCAGCTTTCGCCCACTCAACTGGCGATACTGCTTCTAGGCACTTCTTGATAGCAGCAGTTCTGTTAATGATTCTTTCCTGTTGCTTCTTGGAAAAATTAAAATAGTTTACACTTGTGTTTGACTCAATAACCCTAGTTATCCACTCTTTGTCCACTCCACTCATCCCAGCCTTATTATCATTAAAGTTTAACATCTGAAAGTAACGCACTGTATGCAATCTGAACCTCAGGAACGAAAAGTATCTTCCAGAAATGGTCCAAAACTCACTTAATTCCTCATAAGATTCAGTTATTAACAGCTTCAAAATTTACTCTTAAAAAATACTAAATGTTAAACATCGCTAATGCAAAAGACTAACAACAGATCCTAAATACGCAGGTGAAAAGCAGACCGTTGTTACCATGCAATATGCAAGCGATTTACATCCGTGAAGAACTGCTTTTTGACCCTTATAAAGATGTAGAGTATATCAAAAGTATTAAGTTTACACACACATGTGATTAAGGAAGCCGACGTTCAAACAGCAACAGTAGGATAAATCAAAAGTGAACACTTAGAGAAGCGAAGGTGAGATCCAAACATGGTAGAAAATTCAGAGAAAAGCATTGCGAACGAACGATACAAACCCGCTCAAAAAATCCATCAAGGACCACTTAGGATCATAACCAGTTATTCCTTCTTTTATAACGCTTTTCTTCGCTTTGACTGCAATTCAACTCTCTGCAGCTCTTGCATATTCTCCACCGCTACTACCTTCTTGGTCTTCCACGCTTACGCTTCGAAAGGTCATTGCCGTTGGAATCCTGCTGCAACGTTTTATTAACAAGAATAGTCTGAAAACATTCTCCGTATAAAACCAATCATAATCAGCTCTTCAAAAAAGGCAACAAACATCTAAGTATGCGCACCTTTCTCACATTTGCAGCTTGTTGAATATCTGGTACGGTCGTTTGATGAACACCTTTATCAACGGATATTTCTGCGTCTCCCATAGATTCATTGCCATGCTGAATTCAGTAGATGTGCAACAGATGCTGCACAGGGGTATCATGGAGCTTTATATTTTGACTACATATCGAATTCCCATTCACGAAATCTAGCAACGGTTTATCGCCTCGCCGTGCCTACTAGGTGTTCCTAGGTGTCAGACCGCACATGTATAGCGGGAGATTCACCTTTTGGCAGGATCCCCAAGCTGAGAAAGAGTTCGGCGTTTCCATCAGGAAGCTCAGTTAAGAATAAACCAATACTAGGATCCACCACCGTCCTGGAATCAAAAATGCATGGTGGCAATTCTTCTTCTGAGCCACAAGGGCTGCGACTGCCTGTGGTGGTCAACACCTGGAGCAGATTTTGGATAGGATAAGCTCGGGACAACAGTGAACCACAACGGCTAAAGCAGAAAAACGGCGAAAAATGGAAATTATGCTGGGACCCGCACAGCCGGTGAAGATAGGAAATCCAAGTATTAAGTCTCACATATCTATAGTATAATTGATGAAATAAGAGCTCCAAAAACCATTCCAAAACGAAATCGAAAACAATTTTTCCGGAAAGAATGATTTGACGCTAATAATTAGTAAAGGAAGCATTGCAAATAATTTTTCTAAACCTTACTTCTGATGTAAGCGGGGACACATCAACACTGCCTTCGGAGTCCATTTCGAAATCGTAAACATCAGAACTTCCAGCAGCAAACGCCGACCTGTGTTTCTTCGCTGAACGAGGTAAAACTCGTCTTTTACTTGTATCCGACTCTTTTCCCGAAGCTGCCAAAATGCGATACAGTCGGTCTTTCCTAGAAGGTCTTCCACGCTTCTTCATTTGAGGTGTTCGGTTAAAAACTAGATCCATGACCTAAAATTATGCCCATTATAAATAAGTTACTTTTAAATAACAACTTTTATATAATGTCTTTTTTTTCATAGCACTGAACGTGTTCCCCTGATCATTTCCGTTGACGGTGGATTGCTGACAGTACCCAGAGAGTAGAAAAAATGGCTGAGAGAAATGGAAAGCAAGTGCTCCAGTTATTGTGGATGAAAGTATTCGCGGATCCGAAAAACAGTTGAGGTTCCGAGTTTTGCTCATATCTCAGCATTCCCATGGTTTCAAGCACGCAGTGCTTCAGCATGTCAGCAGTACTAAGTATACAAATGTATACACAGATATATTAAAGGTCTACCTAAGGAACAGAAATATGAATGTGCAAAACTTTCTTTTATATACATATATATGCAGGTATATGCATACATATATATGTATATATACGCATGCACGTATATATACGTATGCATGGGTATATAATCATTTTTAACCGTCTAGCTGCAAAGCAGGATCTGGTTGAAAGGCTTCACCTATTTTTACACTGCAAAATGAGGTCACCCCAAAAATCAACCAAAAATAAATAAATAAATAAGAAAGGATACCGTATGCACTGTCTCATTGAGGGCATCGTCGACGCAGTCCTCATAATGAATAGGTCCGCAGTGTTCGGTGGAACTAATTACCACTTCATTTTCCACATCATTCAACTGAAATCACTTACTCATCAACTACATTAAAACAAAAGTATCTCGACAGTAGAAGGAAGCAGAAGGCAGAAACCAGCCATACCCCGTACTGCTCATAAGGAAACGACTGCTCGTCCATTATCGTCTGCATCAATTCCATCTGAGCCTGCAGCAAATTAATTTTCAATCCTTGAATAGGAAAAGATCCTTTCAAGTTTAGTGATTTACATACTCTGTTTCTTTGCTCTTCCACATCAGGAGGATCTATCGCTAATGCCAGACGAGTGGGTTCACGAAGAAGACAGCGCACTTGAGCCTAAAAATGGTTATACGAGCATCTCGTAATGATTAAGAAGTACACTTAATGGGATACAACTTATCTTCAATTTGAGATAATTATCGTCTCTTAGGATATCAGGATGAAGCTGGATATTAAGTCGATCATGCACCTATAAAGTATCATCTAGAATCATTTACGTAACAAGTATCCATCTACAAAATTTCGCTCCTTAGAGCTACGTGTCGCATCACATCAGCTCTTCTCTCATGTTTAAATCCAGTCCAGTCCCTATAGATCGATTAACTTGGTTTGCCGAAATAAATGCAGTTACAGACGGTGAACTTCAAACCATTCTACTCTCGAACATACCTTGCAGCAAAACAGGAACTATCAAAATCTATACAACCTTCTGTCAATACGGCATAAGTATATCCATTAAGGCAGCACCAAATCCGTATATGCTGCACGTGATGAACTCTTCAAACGTATTTTTAGCGGCGGCTTTGCACGATTCGCTCAACTATTAGCTATCGATATATTTGAAAGTTACTATCAGCTATGATGAGAAACAGGTCTGATAAATATTACGCGTGAGGCATGGTTTCGAAGCATGAATCATTCATCATTTGTAGTGTTACCAGTACAACGTGCATTGAGCGTTGTCACGCGATAAGAGTGGACATTTTCTATCCACTTTATTCGAATAAATAAGCAACACTCCTCCAAAATTTTGTCGATATCGGGTTTTTCTTCTCTATTGTCATTGTTTCGCTAAGCTTGAGGACTTTGTATTGTAAGATTTCCTCCACGGAAAACGAAAAAATAAGTTACTATCACGCGATAGGCGCCGGTGGTGCAGTGGTCGGAGGTACCCGCAACACATACGTGGAATCGATCCCTGCGCCCATGGCCCACCAAGCCTTCCATCCCTCCGAGGTCGGCAAATTGGTACCAGAATTGGTATATTTATAATTGGTAATTGCATTCCAACGCGTACATTTAAGGACAGGAGAACTAAAGAAGCGAAAATACGGGCACGATTTTAAGTGTTCTCAATTCTCATCATTACATCCTTAACGTTTTGAAAACTTTACAATATACAAGATATTTCTACTACTTACCTGTGCAGCTGAGTCGTATATCATGTTAAGCTCTGAATTTACAAATTTTACTTTGGAAGACTTTTAGAAACTTTATCTTGGTCCAACCATTGGACCTTCGAGTCGATTGTCGTATAGCTCCCATTTTTCATCACATCTTAAAAATCGGCCATTCTTGTTGTAAAAAAAAANAAAAAAAAAGGAGCGCGGAATAAGCTTTCCGATGACGATCTCGCTGTCATTCATTCATTTCATCTAGAATCCATTTATCAAGCGTTTTAAGCTTTCCTATGCGTCGAAGTTGATAAATGATGGCTGTGTTGTTCATAACTGGTTTTCGAGCAACATTTAAAGAGATGTTTATGGTAAGCTTCGAATTCGGCATCAAATTGTCGTCGTTACCCAACAACAGCACTTAGCGACCTTCTGTATGACGGAGAATCACATCCTTACTAACGGAAACCTTTCTCTAGATCATTCTGTGATAACATTCCAAGTTATTACCTTACGGTATGTGTCACATTCGCAAAGCGATGCGATTTTCATTGAATGAGAGCGTCATCTACACCGATATAAAACCATTCCAAACTAAATCTCAGAAAATGTGTTCGATTCGACCGCAAGCTGGAAAAGAACTGTCTTCATCGTCCACGAGGAAAAAATCTAGCTGTATACGACGAGAACATTCTGAACGAAGTCCTATCCAAACGTGACTGCCAGATTAAAGAAAACCCGACCGAAGACTACGAGCTACTTTTCGAAGGACTGAAAAGTTGTGCCGAGTTAGCTTCAGTTCCTCCAGTAAAAAGATCGGATCGCATCGCCATGACTACTAAGGAGTTCTTCGAAAAAAGAAGGAAAGTGAAGCATGATCCTACTGCAACACGTTTAACATGGCTAGTAATAAATGCCAGCTGTAGAAGAGCTTTGCGGAAGGATCTACGACGGTACAAGCAGAAGAAAATACTGGAAGCAGCAGAGAAAAAGAAGCAGCCTGAAAAAATACCGTCGGAACTTGTGTGATTATAGTGTTCCGCTGTTAGCCCTGATGAACGAAGATGGGATCGACAAAACTTCCCTCCATGATATGGAATTAATAGCGGAAACGTTCTACACCAACCTTTCCCGTTCCACAATCCCCGCTCCGGGCCCTAATATCCTCGCTGGAGGAAAGCCACCTGGAATTCTTCCGTCGGAGGTTCGAGTTGCAATAGAAAGCATGAAAAGAGGCACAGCTCCAGGACCCGATAATATCACTGCCGATTTCCTTAGAGTTGGAGACCACAATTTACATGTCCCTCTCGCAGATCATATGCCTGTCGGATACCTTCGAAAGTAAAAAAAATACTAGACCAGTGGAGGACGTTGCGCACGGTCATCCTGCCCAAGAAAGGAGACCGAAAGGAATATTAGCAACTATCGTCCCATATGCTTGTTCAGTGTACTCTACAAGCTCTTCACGAAGGTAATCCTCTCGCGCATATCAAGGACATTGGATAAGGCGCAACCAGTAAAGCAAGCAGGATTTCGAAAAGGATTTTGCTGTATGGACCACACCTAAACCGTGTCCAGGGTCATCGAAGTTTGTTAGGAATACCACTTGCCTCTAGTCCTAACCTTTGTCGACTATGAGAAAGTGTTTGAAACGAAGAAACCAATGCAATACTGTTAGTCCTAGTTGACCTAGGAGTGGACCCGTACTACATAAGTACTCTGTCCGACTGTTATCGGAACTGCACTACGAAAATACAGCTTTTCCATCGACCTCTTCCAATATTCGACAGGGCGACACAATATCGCCAAAGCTGTTCAGTACCGCACTGCAGTGGATAATGAAGTCACTCGATTGGAATGAGAAAGGTACATGTATTGATGGAAAATTCCTATCAAACTTTCGTTTCGCCGATCGAACACCATCGTCATCTTCTCAAGAAGTACGAGCGAAGCAGAGACGATGATCAACGAATTCAATGAAGCGGTGAAAAAGATCGGACCACACATAAATCGAAAGAAGGCTCAGTTCATGAAAAACCCATAGGGCGAGGGCGAAAAAATTGAATTGGATGGCTGTCTCATTGCAGAGACCACGTCGTACGTTTACCTTGGGCGATCAGTGCACATGGAAAACAACATGAAGGAGGAACTAGATAGAAGAAGGGAAGTAGCTTGGGCCGCATTCAGGCCTCTCAAAGAAGCCACCTACCAACTGAAAGACCCGAAAATCCGCGCTGATCTCTTCGATTCTACTGGCCTCCCGGCGCTCGGTTATGCTGCAGAGACGTGGGTTGATACTTCAACTACGTCAAGAATGCTATGCACTACTCATAGAGCGCTTGAGCGATGTCTTTTGAAATATAACTGGCACTCTCAATATGTAGCCGGAATGCGAAGCTCTGACTTCGAAATCTGACACATCTCCGAGATCCAGGAGAATATACATCGATAGCAAAACATAGATGGGCTGGATACATAATTAGAAGAACAGACGACAGAAGGACGAAAAGAACAGTAGAGTGGACACCAAGAAAATGTAATCGTCCCTTAGACGACCACCTACACGTTTGGGGGGAACTGTTCGTAAACAAAGTTAATCAGCTGTACCTGCAGCTGCAGTTGTTTTAGAGATCACGGTAGGAGACTCGCAAGCGCTGCCATGCTCGAACAAGACTACCACCATGGACTACGATTGCGAGAAAAAGGAACGAATGGCATATGTGCTGGGGTCTGCAGAGCACGTGAAGACGGACCGTCCAAGTATCCAAGTATCAAAGTAAGTCCCAAATTTCCAAAATGAAAAACGAAGTGCAGTCTAGGACTTTGAAGCTCTTAAAGTAACTCCTGCAACAGCAAGCATGGGCAGCGCATTCAGGGACTGTTATACTACAAGAACCCTAGTTTGTCTAGTCTCCTGGGTCTCTCCAAAAAGATTAGAATTTCTACACTGTAAAATAATGAAACTTGTTGAGGAAGAATTGAGAAAAGAAGTGAGACTGAAAAAAATTGGGGGAGTTTACTTTGAAATGAGAAGTGTTTTTTCAATTCTGAAACGCGCCAATCTTCTCCAGCCATGATTAGAAATCAATCAATGCCACTCAATCTGCTCTCTCTTTTATCACCAAATATGGGTTTCAATCAATTCATATAGGCCCTTATGTCCTGAAATAAGTCACAACCTACCGTTAATTTACGTGCAATGCCACCATGCGACAACCCCAAAACATCTGTTGCATCTGCACTATTGGCAGAAAAATAACCTGAAGCACGCTCCGTCAACGATAGACGAGCCCTCTAAAACCAGTACTTATTTGCGATTTATTAAGTTCTTTAGACAATTTCCACCGTTTCGAACCTCAAAAACACGATAAGCCGATGTGGTGGTGAATGTGGGAGGCAATGTTGTTCCTGCTGGAAGCGATACGCACTGTTTTAATCTATTTGCTACTTCCACGCAACGATTGGAAAGCATCTAGAAACAAGCAGACAGTAGAATTGAAAAGATCCCAACAACCGCTATTAAAGTGCGTCATCGTTTTGCATACTAAACATGCTATTCCTACTTTCACAATACCAGTAATTCAGTAAGGTAAACTAAAGTGAGCGTAAAATGTTATAACATTAGAAACCTCAACTGGCGTGAAAAATACATAAAATTCACAAAAACTGACAATCGATAATTTTGAGCGAATTAATTGCAAACGTACTTACGTCAGTGATAAAGTTTGACGCAACCTTCTCAGCTTCATCTCGACCTGAGAAAAATCTGTTGCACCATTCGTGCTGATCGTACTTACGAACGGCATGACACAGCGCTTCTGTCAAGCAAATGATACGTTCCTCCTGAATGAACTGAACAAATATTCCTAAGAAACAGCTTACAGTTTTCTACGAAGAATACATTAGTAGAACCACAAATGTGCAATCAACACGGACTTTACAAAAAATTTAGTGACGAGGAAGCCTACGGTTTTTTTCTGCAGCACATGTACTTCACATATAGCGGGCGGATCCCAGCACTTCTCGCATTCGATTAGTTTCCTTGAGCACATCACCCACGAAGGTCATGCAGCTACTTAAGTGTGGCTCGGCTACTGTTTAAGGATTTTCCTTTCATCAAGAATGTCGCTGAAGGCCGGTCCAATCGATTCTCCTTGGAATCTTGGAGATAGCCGACTCGGGCGTCCTCACCTGCACTATACATAACGAACTTTTCCAGAAAAGAATGGTACTAATTTCCTGACTCCGGTGGGATGACAGGTCTGGCAACCCCGAAGCGAAATCATAGAAACACAATGCTCGTATTGATTGGCATCACCACCACTGTGCTTCCTGTCTCCTATCCATAGCCTTAGAGCATGAAAATCAGCATATTTACTATAACTACCAATTCTAACTTCAACAGTCCAGAATCAGTATCGAGTCACTGCAGATATGTACAATTACTTCAGCATCAACCAACGTTCAAATCACTGTTGTCCCTAATAGTGAATTTTTTCAAGCGATACATTGAGCATACCCATAAAAAAATTTAAAAATACGTCTAACACGGAGAAAAGTTCTGAACAAAAACTATCGAGGAGCTCTTACAGCTTAATCTGATGTCAAACACATCCTACCTCAGTTTCCTCTGGTCTGAATACAGTCCTCTCATATAAAGTGTCGGGAAGCAAATACATATTCTTCCTTATCTTTTTAACTCCCTGAAATTAAGGTAAAACAGTGAAAATTTTGCAAACACTTAAACGGTGCGCTCGCACTTACACCTGCATGACGATAGACTCGTTTAGGTCTCTCGGCGGTGCTGCACTTTTGCGCTGCGGTAATCAATATAGCTACCTCTCTACAAAAGAAGAGCATAAGAAGCATTTTCCTCAATAAACAAATGGTATACAGTAGACTGCAAATTCTTTTACACTACGAGTAATATGCCACCACTGGAAAGCTATTCAGATTACAGCTATCCTCACTTACTTCTGTGTGAGATCAATGTTTTTAATCACATCAGTTACAGACGGAGAACGGTCGCCATTCCTGAACTTCTCAGTGATTTCCTGAAAGAAGCCCACTAGACGGGAAGATAACCAATTGCAAGTCATATGACTTACCTCGATTCCTTTTTCAAGCAAAGCTTTTTCTTCGTCACTGAATTTGTTTCCTCGTCGCTTTAACAAAATAATTATAGTTTTCAAATTTAATGATAAGGTTGCCCGGAAATTAACGTCCGATTTACAATCTTTTTGTTGTTTACGTTTTAGCAGCAGTTCTCTTTTCGAGAGCCCTAGTTCTGTATATCACAGAAAAGCACATCTTATGCACTTTCGCTCCGTGTAATTGTATTACAATAAAAACTCTACATCCGACAAACTTTAATCGTTCAAAGCACTAATTTCGACAAATCTACTTCTAAAGATTCAAGCTCGGTTGCATACAGCTCAAACGGCTCGAAACCTTAATGATGTATGAAATCAAGAAAGTTTTAACGCAGGCACATGCAAAGTAGGTTTGCAAAATTTGGTCGTGGCGAACTAGACGAGTGAAGTCCCAGGCAGCCTTCTGCTATCGACAACACTGGCTCCAAAGTTTCCGTGCCAGCAAATGCAATCACAACTGTTAGAAAACTTGGAGAACTCAGTGTGCGCATCGCACTGTTTCGGAAAATTTTAAGGCAACTAGAATGTCGAAGGAGCTCAAAAATGAATAGCGCACGAATTGAACGCAAATCAAAGGCTCTT